CTTCGAGCCCCTCCTCTGGTGCGGGCGGAAAAGTTGATGGCTCTCGAGCCGTGCGCTGGCAGAGCTCCGCCAAACAAGGTCTAATGGACCGCTTCCAATTAGAAAGAGGCCTCGGGATCTGTGCCGCTCGAGCGGGGGTGAGACGGGGGCGCCTGAGGTTCAGAGGTGCTCGGAATGAAAGCCCGGCCCGTGGAGGGGAAGTCTCCCCGACACCCGCTCGGGCTCTCGGGCGCTGCAGCCGCGGCGCAAGCTGACACTCCCGCGTGGGGAGACGGGCTGCCCGGGGAAGCCAACCGCAGGAAGAGGCGACCGGCGAGGGGCTGTGTTAGCGGGCTGAGGGTGCGTAGGGTTGCCCCAGAGCTCCGGGAATCCCGGAGCCGCCTCGGGTGCTGACAACTTCAAAACTGTAGAAATCAAGGGAGCCGAACTCACTGCCCCTGCATCCGCAGCCAGGGCAGTGTCTAGTGTTGGGGGCTGAGGGTAGTAGTTTATTGCCCCTTCTTCAGCCCGAGAGCTGGGACTATGAAAAGCCCATTTGTTTTCCCAGCTCTTGATTGCTAACAACAACAGAAAAAAACAATCCTACTGTCTATATTTTCTCCACATTCCAAAATAGCAACTCTAGATCTGGCTTGTATTAAGCCCGTCAGAAGTTTATCGCATTTGCCCCGGGCCGGGGAGGGAACAATGCTAGGAAAAGTCACCGGTGCTCTTCCACCCTCGCCCCTTCCCGCGCTCAGGATGTGCGGGCCGGCGGGCCTGTGATCCGGGAGCTTCCTGCCATCCCCTTGCGCGGACTTGAAAGGGCCGGGGAGGTGTCGAGAGCAGAGTTCAGGGCTGCGCGCGCGGGGCGCTCGGGCAGGCGACCCGGCTTGGCCACATCACCCGGGAAAGGGGGTGGCGGGAGGACGAGCAGTTGGCACGTGGGGCCGGTTATCCCCTCCATCTGGGGCCTCGCCGGGCCTTCGGGTAAGGCCGTGCAGGTCCCCTGGGGCTGAAGCCCGAGAGCCCAACATTGCAGGTCTGGCCGCAGAGGTACCCGGTTGGCCCAAAGAGGCGTTTCTTCTCAGAACTTGGGACTGAAGCGAGGTGTGGCCGGGGCCCACTGCCGCCAGCCCTGGAAACAGTGCCCTTTCCGCCTCCCTCAGATGCCCGCGCGCTTCAGGGTCCGAGAGGAAAGTTACTTCTTGGTGATCCGGAGCGGGCGTTTCCGAAATACTCTGGAAAGGTAGCCCCGGGAGGCTCTGGAAGAAGTAGATGAGGGGAAGCCCCCAGGGCTTAATGGGGTGGGGGTCCTAGGTGACGTTTGGGGAGGCGCCCTCTTGGTACCATTTTCTGCCCCCAGGCGAGAGCGCCGGCCAGCGCAGGTCTGGTTTCCAAAGCAGCGCGGAAAGCGCCTGGGCACGGTTCCCCCGGGACGCAGCCTGCCTGAGGGAAGCGCCCTTGGGATGGCGGACCCCATCCCCACACGCGGTCTGGTTCCAGCCCGGGTCGCGCTCTTATCCGACCGACGGGAGTCAGAGAGCGGGTCTGCAGCTGCACTCTCGGCGCGGCACGCCCAACCTCGCGGGGACTCCTTGCCCCGGCCTCCCGGGACGCGCAGTCCTCTCCTTCTTCTAGGGAGAGCACAGCGACTTCTTTGCCGCGACAGGTTCGGTTCTCCAGCTCGGCACCAGGGCCCTGGGTGACCCTGAAAGATGCCCAGCCTCCCACAGCCGCGTCTGTCTTCCCACCCAGCCTCTCTTTTTTAAAGTTTTCACGAGGATCCCCACCCAGGACTAGGTCTTTTCTCTGTTGGATCCCCGAAGTGGGCACGGAACCTGTTAAGAAGTGTAAAGTTAAGAGTTTATTTTGTTACTCGAAGGGCAGGCAGAAAAAGAGCACGCTTGGTAAATACGGTATTTTCCCGTCCCTGAAGCATGCTGCGAGGCGGTCTGTGAACACGAAGGTTTAAACTTCTGGAGCTCTCGGTCTCTCCCCAGACCCGGCATGGCTCTCCTAGGGCCGGGATTCAAGCCCACGCCGCTGGTAACGGCGCTCAGCATCCCTTGCTTCTGTGCCACGCAGCCCAGGCCCCGGCCTCTCCTACAGCCTCTCTTCCTGGGATTCTCCAGACTCTGGCTAAGTCCTTCCCGTCTAAGCCCCAGCCCTCTGTCTTGGGGCGGGACACCCCCTCCACCCCTACCCCGAAAACCCTTTCCGAGGCCCTCAGACAGAAGAATTTTATTTAAAAAATAAGTCCCGGGCAGTAGAGTGGTCGGGCTGGGGTGGGGGTTTGGCGATGGGTGGGGGGTCCTTCTCCCCGCTTTTGGTAAACAAATCAGAGCAAACTTCGGCCGGACTACGGTCACCCCCTCCCCCGTGTGCCCACCGCTCCACCCCCTGCGATGCCACTGATTAACTTAAAGCAAACTGGCCTGCTGTTTGTACTCCACTGGGTAGCAGAAAGTTGAGCAAGGGACCGAGCCGGCGCGGTGCGCCTCGGGGCTCGGGAGCGGTTCCGGGCTGCACTGCGCAGACCTGC